TATGATTTCCTTCCTTTCGAATCAAGGGGGTAATGTCGGCGTATATAAATTTGTTGGGGGGGTAAAAGGTCAAAAAGTTCCCTGACCCCTGCTCTAGTCTACCCTGATTTTGGATGAAATATCTCGGTGGACAAATTAAAGAGAGGGCTACACCGCCTTCTGTGCCCACCCAGGTCTCGGTGACATAAGCCAGATCTGCTGTTTCATCCAGGATCAAATCCTGAGTTAGTTGGGCTTTGTTTAAAGCAGACCTGGCATTTAACAGCATGAAGGATAGAGTGGAGGGCTGGCTGAGCAAGTTACCTCAATTCTGGCCACTGACATCAGAGCTAGAACAAGGAACAGCCTTCAAACATCTGACCACCATTCTTTTAGGTTTAATTGCTACTGTGCCAGTGCCATACCTTCCTCTGCCCATTATAACTTGTATGTTGTTCATTCCCCCTCACTGGGTGACAGGGCTTCAGTCTCCAGTAGAAATTAATGTGTGGGTTAAAGTGCAGCAAAGAGTAGACAATACTAATGAGTAAACAGAATAATATATGTTAACCAAATGAGTTCAGCCACCTCAAATAGTAGCATGTTGCTCTGTATCACTTTGCTGATGTTCTTAGGCCTGAAAACATGAATAACTAAGGGATACCAGTCATAGTCAGAAAAGTTTCCATCTTTGGTCACCAGACCATTATCAAAGTTCTGTATACTCCTCATCTGTCAGCTCACCATCCTGTGTGTAACTGTGTCTAATAGCTAGTGTTGAAGCAATACTTCACAAGGGATTATATAATGGTTAAAATGAATGATGCATTTGATCGCAACTAATAATTCTGAATGATATAAGTGATTGAAATCTATTGGTTATGAATCTTCACATTTTATATTGTTAGGTAAAGGTAAAGATTCCCCTTGATAATTTTTGTCCAGTCATGTTCGACTCTAGGGGGCGGTGCTCATCCCTGTTTCCAAGCCATAGAGCCAGTGTTTGTCCGAAGACAATCTTCTGTGGTCACATGGCCAGTGTGACTTAGACACGGAACGCTATTACCTTCCCACCGAGGTGGTCCCTATTTATCTACTTGCATTTGCATGCTTTTGAACCATTAGGTTGGCGGGAGCTGGGATAAGCGACGGGTGCTTACTCTGTCGCATAGATTCAATCTTACGACTGCTTGGTCTTCTGACCCTGCAGCACAGGCTTCTGCGGTTTAGCCTGCAATGCCACCACGTCCCTATTCATTGTACTCACTGTTATTACCTTAAATGCTGTCTTTAAATTGTACATACAAGTGGCAATTAAAAACATTCAAAGAAGTCCTGAAGTATGTAAAAAAAAGCAGAGAAATTCACACATATTTGATAACTGAGGCTGTTGATGATCAGTTGTGAATCTCCCAGAGCTATTATGACAAAAAGACAACTTGGCAACATGGGACTGAGAAAATTTTCATTCATGTAGACTACAGTGGTGCCCCGCATAGCGAGCACCCTGTTTAATGAGGAATCTGCATAGCAATGCGGATTTTGCGATCGCAAAAACGGTCTCTTTGCGATGTTTTGAATGGATAAATATCGCATTGCAATGATCGGTAAGCGTTTCACTTTCTGATCTTCGCATTGCGATGTTTAGAAAACAGCTGATCGGCGGTTCCAAAATGGCCACCAGAAAAAATGGCCGCCCGCAGCGTTTTCGTGCCCTTTCCTCGCTTACCGGGCAGCGAAAATGGCGGCCGGATGGAGGATTTCCGCATAGCGGTGAGTTCCCCCCCATAGGAACGCATTGAACGGGGTTTAATGCGTTCCTATGGGGTTTTTCGTTCCATATAGCAACGATTCCGGATATCGACGATTTTCCTGGAACGGGTTATCGTCGCTATGCGGGGCACCACTGTATAGACCTTTTTTGTTGTTGGGCCAATTTTAGTGCCAGACCTCACTGAGAGAGGCTCTGTATGTTTTCCTTACAGACCAACTTAAAGGCAGATCTACAGAGCAAATCACAGGATCCTATGGTTTTTCATAACTGACATTATACCAGTAAAGGGTTAATCCCGGAATGAAATCAGGCACACATTGAAAACCATTTCAAAATTTATCTGGGTATCTCAGTATAAATGTTTTCCTTTCTTCTCTTCTCTTCTCTTCTCTTTTCTTTCTTTCTTTCTTTCTTTCTTTCTTTCTTTCTTTCTTTCTTTCTTTCTTTCTTTCTTTCTTTCTTTCTTTCTTTCTTTCTTTCTTTCTTTCTTTCTTTCTTTCTTTCTTTTTTGTCAATATTTCCAGGCAATTCTAAAACTTGTCCAGTTCTCCATGTAGGCATCCTTCAGTCTTGAGAGACTATGGTAACGTGCTCTGAATAGAGATCTTGGAACAGCATCTAGTGTGGCTGAAAAGGCCAATTTGAGAATGACAATCCCTTCCACACTAAAGACAAATACAATCTGTCTGTCCCCTGTCCAGCTCCCAAACAGGGTCTTGTATTAATTTTTGCTCCAAAAAAACGCATTAGGGTGTATTTTCTGGGGATGTTTTATTTTACAGTCATGTCATCTTCTGGTTGCTACACAATGGTGGAGGGCAGGGTTTCACTTAACTAGGGCTTATTCTGGGGGGTAGGGCTTATATTACAAGCATCCTGAAATATCATACTAGGGCTTAGTTTCAGGTTAGACTTATATTCCGGGAAACACAGTAGTTCTTACAAAAGTATTTAAATCCTGGCTTTTACCTAGCAATTGATTGTGGTTTCAAGGTACAAAAGATTTTGGCAGTGGAAATATTCTGCATTTATAATCTTAAAAGAAGTCAGCAACTTTCACAATAAAGAAAATGTGTGTGTTTGTTTTGTCCTTTATGTCAGTGGTGCTGCTATTGCTTGTTTGTACTCCCTTACAAAAACAGGATTTTTTAAAACAGTATTTTCAGTGTGTAGGATTTAAGAGTTTTTGGCATTTCTAAATAGGTTTGGAATAAGTCGAAGATCCCCTGCTTCTATTGATCGACAGAACACAGACACTAGCGGCAGTGGCAAATCCACCCCTAGCTGGCAGAGAAGTGAGGATAGCATTGTTGACCAAATGGGTAAGTAAACAATTCCTTCCAGAATGTAGTAGTGTTCACTGTAAGGTTACTTTGGCAACTCATTCTTTATCAGTTAGTATAGCCTTTCACAATCGAGAATTTAATTGTTTTGAAATGTTATTCAATTAATCAGGATGAATTAATACATTTCAGTTATACTGCAGTCTGTGTCCTTGGGACTAATGAACATCCTGTATAGAAATAATTTTTGCTGGTAAATGGATAAGTTATAATGGTCCAGTCCCTTGAGAATACTCTTCAAAAGCTGTTGACTAGCATACTTACGACTTAGCCTTACTGTTTCTTTGCCCTCATCTTCTTTCAATATTGCATCGACTTAATTTAATGTTCACTTCATTTATAGCTCCCTTTGTGGTACACACTTTCTGGTGGTGTGATATACAAGTAAACTGATTGATTGTTGAAAGTGTAAAAACCTTATGTATGAGCAAATAAAATATAATTAAACAAAACATTAAGTTTTGGCTGAAAGAAATATACAAAACAGTGCAAATTCTCAGCATTCTGTTGGTTTATATTGTTAAGTCTGCCTTTGGATTTCCAACACATAGAAATATTTATTTTCATCTATAGTGCTCTGGACAAAGTAGTGACTTGCACTGCTAGATTCTGCTTAGGCCTTGCTAGAGATTCTAATATAATGCTGATACGGTGCAGTGTGATAAGCTTTATTCAAGGGTGGCAGTAAGGAGTGTGTGAGCCTTTCTTGTGGACAGTGTAGCAAAAACTGTGCTTCCAGAAGATCTGTTACATCATTCCTCAGGTTAATTTCCTCTGCCATGAAAGTGTAAACAAGCAAGGCTAGGGCCCTGAGATGAAGGTAATCAGTTTGGGTATTTTAGAAATAAACCCAAATAAATTTTGAGACAAAAGCAGCCAGATTTCCAAAACCAGTTCATGGCACAGACCAGATACAACTTGTGTGTAACCCTGTCTCATCCACTTGGAATACAAGATAACAGCCCAAGAAAGGTACGTTCCGCACAGAGGCAAAAAAACTGTAAGGCTTTTGGGGGTAACTGAAAAGTTCTTTCTGTCATTCCAAATAAATTCGGGGGTGGGTTCAAGTCTCCTAGGTTAGTGGAATGTTAGAAGATAGTGTGGCTAAAGAAACCAAATCCTCTCAGTTCTTGCTATTACAGTGGTGCCTCGCTTAGCGATCGCTCCGTTGAGCGATGAAATTGCTTTGCGATGGACTTTTGGCCATCGCTGGAGTGATCGCTTAGCGATGTCCCCTATGGCTAAAATTCGCTTTGCGATGATCGCGGGGAAGCAATCATGGCAAAGCGAACTTTTTTAAACAGCTGATCGGTGGTTCCAAAATGGCAGCCGCAAAAACGAAATGGCTGCTGCTGTTTTGCCTCGCTCTAGAGGCACCCAAAATGGCCACCGCTATGGAGGAATTTCGCTTTAAGGTAAGTTTTTAGCCCATAGGAATGTATTAAGCGTGTTTCAATACGTTCCTATGGGCTTTTTAATATCGCTTAGCGATTAAATTACTTAGCGATGTTTTTTCTGGAACGGATTAACATCGCTAAGTGAGGCACCATTGTATAGCATAGTCTGCTACTGTTTGAGAAAAGCAGGCTTTAAGGTTCCATTGTTCAGTTAATGCCCAAAGAATTTGGAAAATGAAGCCCAATTCTCAAATTCAAAAGCCAGACTTTTGTCCTAGCAATTTCTGAGGTTTATTATTAAAAACCATCTGGTGATTTCCATCCCCCATATTGGCTGAACAGAAAAAAACTGATGATACTGATCTCTAGTTTCCATTTTGGCAGAATGATTTAATCATATGTGCTTTTATACTGTTGAGATGGTAACACCATGTGTACAGTTAATCTTTTTCAGAATTACCTTTGCAGATCCTCTGTTGTGCGTTGATGTTGGCACTTAACTGAGCTGCCGAAAAGTTATGCTATGAAAAGTAAAGTCACCCCCATATCAAAGTGCAGAAAATGGAAATTAGGGAGGGAGGAAAGTAGTTTTGATGTGAATAGATCTGACTGTCAGCTTCCACCATCTTCCTTTAAGGCAATTAGAAGTGCTCTCTCTCACTTAGAAAATTAAACCATCAGTTCTAGTAATTGTGAGTTGTGTCCAGTCATATTTCTCGTTTGACATAAAGCTTTTTGATCCAATGGGAACTACTGTAACCAGAAGCAGGAGGAAAGCAGTAGTTTACTTTCAACACCTAAGACATTCCTTATCACCCTCTGCTTTCCCTTCTCAAGACAGATCTCTTTGTAGGCACGAGGGACCTTTCAGAACCATGTGAAATACAGCACAAGTGGAGAATGAGGAGATGCCAGAAATCTCCTCCTTCCCTGTTCCACAAATGGATGCCTCTGTGGGATCAACTAGTTTTCTGTCTGCAGGAGGACACCAAGGAGATGCGAGCCTTTGAATTAAAAAATATTAAGAGTCTTCTATGTTAAACAAACAGTGCCAGATCATCAACTGTTGTGAAGAGATGTTATATTTGCACATGGTTCTCAGTAGACGTCCAGCAGTTTCTCAATTTTTTTAATACCAAACAGTGTATAAAGTGAAGACCAATGCTGTATTGCGTGCTGTATTTGTATTACAGAACCAACATGCCATCTCCCTGCTTATTCAAAAGTGCTGCCGTCCTTCAGAGAAAGCCCCACTGGGAGACTGATGAGGCAGGATCCGGTAGTTCACTTGTCTCCAAATAAGCAAGGCCATGTAAGTTCACTTTCAAAATCGTTATTTAAAGTACTTTGCACTTTCAGGAGTTCTTCAAAAGGTAAGATATCCTTTAAAAACCTGGCTTTTCCTGAACTATACTTCCTTGTTAAGAGTATGGAGAAAGCAGCCATCCAGCTGACCTCAGTATTTTAAGGCAGCTCTAACATAAATTTATTAATAGAAACAATTTCCTGCCAACTCAGAAGCAAGGTTTTACTCCAAAGTACAATGTGATTGGCTAAAGATTTGTGAGAACTTTTATGATTCCAGAAATAAGATTCATGTTCATATCCTTCTAATGAGTTCCATCTTTTACATACAGTATAATAGGTTTTTTTACAGGGCAGAGTTGAACAATTTGATATTTTTAGTCCATATATTCAACTTCAGAAATTTAAGGTAATCTTATATATTTATATTTCTTATTCCCATTCCAGGCATTTAAATTCTTATTTTGAATCCTTCTCCCTATAAAGGCCAAGTCTTAAAGCAAAGTATGCTGCTTATAATACTCTCTGGGTGGTTTACAATTTTATTATTTATTTAATTTATATGCCGCCCACTCTACACATAGCGGCAGAGTGAACCTCAAGAGTTTACCAACTTCAGAAGGATGGAAGGCAGAGTGAACCTCAAGCCAACTTCCTGGGATTTAACCTGGGTCATGAGCAGAGTTTTGGCTGCAGTACTGCAGATTAACCACTGCATCTTGAGGCTCCTGGCATAGTGGTTAACCCTTACAATATTCGCCAAAAATAAAGACAAGAGTTGTGTCACCTTTAAATATTAACCACTTTATTCCAGTGTGAACTTTTCATGGACCATGCAGTTCCTGAAACACAAGAAATAAACTGTGATCCACAAAAGTTTGCACTGAAATTAACTACTTTGTCTTTAAAGTATTACAAATATTCTGTTTCTGTTTGTTTGTTTGTTTGTTTGTTTGAATTTTGATTCCGCACCATTACCAATGTTCTCTGAGCAGCAGGCACTATTTAGCTTGAGGACTATTCTGAAATTGCAGATAATGAAGGAAGGAGCCAACATTTGCTTCAAAAAAAGGAATGAACTCATCTGATAACTGAATTCTTCCCAAATTACAGTGGTGCCTCGCTTAATGATTTTAATTGGTTCCAAAAAAACATCGCTATGGGAAAACATCGCTAAGCAAAACACGTTTTCCCGTAGAGATGCATTGAAAACTGGATAATCCGTTCCAGCAGGAACAGACTACTGTCCTTAAGCGAAAATCGCCATAGGAAACATCGCTAAACAATACAATGTTTCCCCATTGGAATGCATTGAAGCCTATTCAATGCATTTCAATGGTTTTG